CGGATCCAAACCAGCGAACCCCGGGCCGCCGCAGCGGAGCGCGCTCACTTAACCGCTTGCGCCACCGGGCCGGCCCCTGCACTTTGGTTTTAATTGGATAGTCATTCCACTTTCTTTAGGGATACCTTTTATACAGTGTTGTTTTTTGAAGCTGGTATATGTTTTTCCATCATTTTTATACAACTCCTTACAGTATACTCTTTAGGATTAAATGAAGTAGTGTGTTTAGATACCTTATACAGCACTTCGATTGTAGTTGGGAATCAATAAATTACGTAATTATTAATGAAGAAATTTTTAAAATATAACACTTATATATAGGACGCGCATATATATGTAAAATTTGATAAAGTTGTCATACTTTTATTCTCTAAAAATTGAATGAATTTAAAATTACTTGGTAAAAGGACAGAAAGTCCATAATTAAATCATTAAGAATGTTATTTTGCCTAAATTCAAGATTGTTGTTGAAATAAAAAGGAAAATATATATTGAATCTGAAAGTGAAATTATTGATTTACTTGAGTACTTTGCAAACCTAAAATCTACTAGGTTCAACTGGACATCTAAGAAAACTGCTTTGTTGATTAAGGATTTTAAAGTACCAAGTTGTAGGGATCTTTTCACCTAAACCTTCTAGTAAATAAACATGAACTGACATCTTTATGCCCAGCATTTTGCTAGATGCTGAACCATCATGAGAATAGTCCGTGCCTTCACGTAACCTATAATCTAGTGAAAAGATTAGTTTTACCTCATGTGATAGTTATTTATGTTCATTCTAAGTATTATAAAAATAGAGTAGAAAATGGTAACCTATTTGATTTGTTACTTTGGTTTGTAACTAATGCATAAACTCATTCTCTAATTTTTTGCATATCAAGTGACTGAAAAGCAGAGCAAAAATATCCAGGACTAAAACGGCTTTTTCCTCTCCTTTGTACTAGTTAAACTTCTTTTCTGCTTTCAGTACTCATTTTTGTTCTTATCCTTGCCTTATTCTTAGCATCAGTTCTGACGTTGCACTTATCTCTAACTCAGGCCTGACCTTAATTCTATCTGAGTGTTCTCAATTCAGGTCAACGTGGATTGTCCAACGTTAGATAATGATTATAATGGGCATAGGGAAAATCTGGAGAATCAGGTAATACAGAAAGAATTCCATATGTATCCCTCTTTATTCTTAATTCGATGATTTCTGCTACACAGTTTGTTTCTGATACTAATGTTTATTTTTATGAATATCTTATGACAACTGAAATAAGCTGATCAGTTTTCTTTTGATAAAAATATGTGCTTTTACTATTAAATATGCATTTGTTAATTAATTAAATTCTTAAAACTTTTTGAAAGTAAGAAATTCCCAATTTTGAATGTTTTCATTCCCTGAAACATAAATGAATCATTTCTTGCAATTTATTATTGCCATCCTTCAACTTCTCATTGTTTTGGAGTTTGTTTAGTAACCATCACCTTACCAGAATTTGTTGCTTTAGGAAAATAATTCAACTTAATTAAACTTTTCTTTTTCTTTTTCTTTTTTTTGATACTTTTACTTTTATACCTCTTTTTTCCCCTTCTGGCAAAGGATGAAAAACCAACAGCAAACTCCATGCTGGGCATGTGGATTGGTGCAGCTGCCATTCCTTGTACTCCTAATGTTGCAAAAGGAAAATCAAGAGCAAAAATCAGCTGCACAAAGTAAGTTCAAACTTTTCAGCTTTTCTGACATTCAGTGAAGTAAATATTTTTAATAATCTGTTTTGGTTTTGTGAATATACCACAATGGTTACAAATTTTTTTCCTTAGTTTTGACATGTAAAATTTTGGACTTAAAATAATTATAATGTAAGTGTTAAAATTTTCAAGTTTTAATGTATTAAAATCTGTTAAATACCAATTGAATATTTGTAATGACTCAGAACTTTTCTTAGTTATAACTTTTAAAATATTTGTTTAATAGGTTAAAAACACAAAATCGAGAGGAAGAACTTATGAAGTTGGCTAAGCAATTTGATAAAAATATGGAAGAGCTAGATGAGATTCAAGAGCAAAACAAGAGAAATCATGATTTTATCCAGACAATTTCAGAAACAGAGACTTTAAATAATTATGAAGATAATGTACAAATGCAGTTGTTACATGATAGAGTTCTTAAAATTGATGATGCTATAATAAGGAAGCCAGTGAAAGAAAACACCAAGATACATGTGGTAAATGATCAAAATAGCAGTCAGAAGCCATTTGACCAAAATGCTGAAGCAGCTTTTAATGCCATTTTTGATGGTTCTACTCAGAAATGTAGTGGACAGATAAGTCAAGATCTGTCAGATGCTTTTTTGAACATCAGTAATACCACAATTGGAGAGAAAAGTGCTCTGAAAGAGGAGAAAATCATTACTAACGAAACTCTGGTCACTGAAAAACTGCCAAATAAAAACCCAGGATCACTTTCTTGTCAAGTAGATACTCCAGGAATGACAAAGTCCTGTATGATTTCCAGTACTAAGGAACCAGAAGCTTTTAATAAGCACATTGATGCATTTACTACCAGTGATTTTGAGGATGATTGGGAAAACTTACTAAGTAATGAACCTTTTGTTATGCAAAATGTCAAAATGTCTGAACTTTTCCCTGCTTCTAAAACAGCCCAAGTTACTGATCAAAAGGGAATTTGTACCTTTAGCAGTAAAAATGATAAAAGTAAGTCAAGAACTAATACAAGCCTAGATGCCAGGTTCAGAGATTCAAAAATTTTACAAGATCTTCCTTCAGAGACACATAACAGTGAATTAACAGATGCTGGAAAATACAGATTTTCACCAAATCCAAGTGGTAAACCAAACAAATTACCATCCACTGGAAATAAAATGAAATTTGAGAAATCTTTAAATAAAATTGTTGTTCAAGACAAAATTCAAGGTTGTGCAGTTGCATTTAATCTGACAAAAGTAAAGGAAGATATTCATACTAAATATACTTCTAATGTAAATGCTTCTGGAAAAAAGTCTTCTTTGAACACAGGATATTCTAATGAACAAAGAAATAAGTCCATTTTTAATCAGTCTTTTAAAGCACCTGCTAATATAGATCCTTTTGGCTCTGAAACTTTGGGCAATGAAACCAGTGTTCATAACCCAAATCAGACTAATGCATCCAAGTTAGATTCTTTCTTTGATGATTGGAGTGATCCATCATTTGCCAATGAAATTGCTAAAGCATGTCATCAATTGGAGAATGCCTGGGAAGCAGATGATGTAGATGATGATTTATTATACCAAGCATGTGATGATATTGAAAGACTAACTCAGCAACAAGACATTAGAAAAGACAGCAAGACATCAGAAAGTATACCTGAGATCCGTAATAGTTCCACATATGGAGCCAAAAACATGTTCACTACATCTAAACAAAGAAGTCAGTTGATGCAGTGTAAACATTTGAATACAAATAGCGTTTCAGTGCATACGTCTTCGTTGACAAATAACTCACAAATAAATAAATCAATGAAGATGGAGAAAGGGGAAATTTGTGGAAATTCTCCAAGTTTTCTAGGTGCTACAACAAATTTGACTATATACCCTAAGAACTCAAATTGTCAGGTCAATAATCTGCATGTCTCTTGGAATAACACTGATATTCCAATACAAGTAAATGGTTCCAAATCAGTTCTTACAGGAAGTTCAAGTTTCACTGTGAGTTCAGATCATATGAGTACAGAAACTGCTACTTATAAGAAGAACGTGAGTACTAAGCATCCATCCCATAGGACAGTAACAGATGAAGCACAGAGGGACCTTAACAGAACAGTTAGATTTTCTAAGTATACGTTTGCAAAGGTGAAAAATTCTCAGATTTTTTCCCAGTTTAATCAAAATTGTGTAACAGGAAGTATTTCTGATACCAAAATCACACAAAGTTTGGAAAAAAATAACACTCCTGTTACCCCGTTATGTGGGAAGGCTGTTCCACAACAATCTTTGGTGAAACTTTCTGAGTCTTTGAAACAACCTTCAAAAGGTATGTACGAAATAGTTTTCTTTAAAAAGTATATTGGAAAGTAGCCTAACTAGTTATTTGTTGTATTGAATTTGTGTAACATACAAGGTAAATGCTATTCTGTGATGTTTAACTAGAATTCTTAAAGTGATTCTTACAAATAGTTATGCTGGAATATACAAAGAGTGGGTGATTTATGTTTTCAAAAGACTGCATTGAATTCCTTCCCAGTGTTTAATGCAGTGACTAGCATATAGTAGGCACTCAATAAATATTTGTTGAATGTTTTCTATTTCCTAGAAAATCATACTTTTAGATATATATATTGCTGTGTGAGATTGTGTGTATTTACTAAATATCTCAGTGTTTTAAAACTTGAATAATCTTACTCCTGTGTTTAGCAGAATATTGAGGTGAACAATATTTGAAAATATAGAGCATTCTAATTAAACTCTTTTGCTACTATAATATCTGATATAAAACCATTAGTTGTGATGGTTAGAATTGTAATTTACTTACACAGTACAACCTGTCATCTTTGATTCTTCCAATTCCTCTTTTCCCCAATTCTCCTTTCTGTCAACGAGTTCAATGGTTTTTACCTCAAAAAATATATCACAAAACTCCATTTTTCAGGGCTGGCCCAGTGGCGCAAGTGGTTAAGTGCGCGTGCTCCACTGCGGCGGCCTGGGGTTCTCCGGTTCAGATCCCGGACGTGCACCAAGGCACTGCTTGTCAAGCCATGCTGTGGCCGTGTCCCATATAAAGTAGAGGGAGATGGGCATGGATGTTAGCCCAGGGCCAATCTTCCTCAGCAAAAAAAAAAAAGAGGATTGGCAGATGTTAGCTCAGGGCCAATCTTCCTCACAAAAAAAAAAAAAAAACCTGTCCACTTTTCTCAGTCTCTATTGCTACCACTCTTATCCAAGCCAACACTTTTGACGTGACTACTGCAGTTCTTTTACCTGTCCCCTTTCAATTCTGGTTTCCAAATAGCAGAATAATCTTTTAAAAACAAATAGGCAAACATGGCATTTCAATGCTTAACCACAGCCTTCAATGGCTGCCCGTCATATTTCAAATAAAACCCTAACTTTACACTGTGATCTACAAGGCCCTGGATTATCTCTCCTTAACCTGCCTGTCCTCTTTTTTCCCTTACCTACTAAGCTTCAGCTACACCAGCTGTGTTTCAGTTTCTCAAACAGAACAGATTCTTTCTTAGTTCAGAAGCTTGGACTATGCTATTCCCAACTATAACTGCTTCTTCCCGACATTTGACCCCTCACTCCAACCCTTTGGTTGCTGTTTGTTTATCCTTAGGTCTCAGGTTAAGTATTACCCTCTCGTAGAGGCCTTCCTTGAATAGTCTATAAGTAGGTCTTTTCTTTGTTATTTTCCATCATCTCCCTTATTTCCTTCATTTCTTTTATTACAATTTGCAATTAAATACTGATTATTGTGTCTTTCAGTGAATACCTAAGCCTACCAGAGCATCTGCCAGTTAGAAGATATTTAATAAATATTTGAATGAACATCATGCAATATAATGTGAAAAGTCTGTTATTCAGTGATACTGTAATATTTTTTAAAAGGGAGTGTGTCTGGCATAACTACTTATGCTTCTCATGCCCAGTAATTTCTCACAGCCTCGTGCCTTTGCAGACTCTGTTTCCTTCACCAGAAATATAGTGCCCCCACATGCGTACACCAAATCTGCCTGAACATTTTCCATTTGTCCTTTAAAACACAATGTGTTTCTAACCACCCCAAATGATTTAGATTCACTTTCTCTGGGTTTCTCCAATACCCAGTGCTAACTTCTGTTATAGCATTTACTATGCTAGCTTGTCATTATAGATTTTCTTAATCAGTCTCCCTCACTTGGGGCTAACATTAGGATTCTTATCTATTATGTAGATCAATGTTAATATGGTGAGGGAGTTTTTAGTTTCTTTTAACATTAGATTATTGTTTAATGTTTAGATTCTAGATGATGCTTCTATTGGCATTACTGCTACAACTTTCCTATTTAAGTGACCTCTCCCTTTTTTTTTTTTGTAACTTATAACAGTAATATGCTGGTTGTTTAAAAAGAAAGAAGGAAAACAATATAGATTAATTTGAAGTAAAAAGTTAAGTCCTCTCTTTCTCCTTTCCCACAGCCATTCCTCAAGGGAACCCACTGTTAACAGTTTGGAATACATCATATTGTATTTTCTGTGCATATAAAAATGTGTGTATGTATACCAATAGATTTATTTAAAAGATGGAATTATACACTATATACCCATTATTTGGCAAATTGGTTTTATCTTCACTTAATATATTATAGCTCTCTTTTCCTGTTAGTACATATAGTTTTGCTTCAGGCCTTTTAATGACTACATAGTATGTCATTATATGGATGTACCATAATTTATTTAACTGCTTCTCTATTGATAGAAGTTTAGTTTGGTTGCAGTTTTTTGCATGAGAAACAATCCTCCAGTGAATGTCCCTTTACGTAAATTTCTGCATGCTCGTGTGATTGTATCTGTTAATTACTGAAAAATTGATGTAAGAGAATGTTTTGAATTTTGATGGATATCACCAAATCTTCCCAAAAAGTTACATCAATTTATATTCTTATCAACACTGACAATGAATATTTCTCTACATTATAGACCAAACTAGATATTTTGAAACTTTAAATATTGTTGTCAATCTATAATAATTTTAAATATTTATATTTAAATAAGTGTAATTAATTGAACCATACTACGAACAGGAATTTATTTACATATAGTTTACTCCATTAAACTCACTGGAATATTGGAGTTTTCCCAAAACTCCTATCTGCATTTTTTATGGATGGATAATCTGCCTTTTAGCTTGCTTTATCAATTTTTCCCTTAAGTTTATTGACAGTACCTGATTTTCTAATTAACCTTGTTGATATATTCTATTGTTTCCACTTCCTTTTACATTGGTATGTAGCAAGCTGCTCTCCAGAGAATGTCTTTGAAACAAAACCCATTTAGCTACCTCATAGCTTTAAGGCAGGGTTTGGCAAACCATGGCCTGTCCAGATCCAGCCTATTGCCTGTTTTTTGTATAGCCAGCATGCTAAGATGGTTTTCACATTTTACATGGCTGAAAAAATCAAAAGAATAATATTTCATGACTTTTGAAAATTATATGGAATTCAATTTTCATTGTCCATAAACAACGTTTTATTTTAATGCAACCGTATCATTTGTTTATGTATCGTTCGGGGCTGTTTTTATGCTACAGTGACAGAGTTGAGCAGTTGCTATGAGAGAGCATATGACCCGAAAGGTTAACATATTTACTTTCTGGCCCTTTACAGAAAAAAAAAATTTGCTGACCCTTGCTTTAGGATAAAGATTAAGAAGAGCAACTCTTGCTTTATACCTTACAGTAGTTTGAGACTTTGCCATGTATTTTTATTGCAGATTGAGTTAAAGGAAAGGCTGATGGGAGAAGTGGATGACTCTCCTTAAATCAGATTTTCATGGTGTGACTTTATTATATCATTGCAAGTTATTTTCTAGAATATCACCAAGCCAATTGTAAGGCCAATTTTAAGGAGCTATGTTCTCTTCTGCCATCGTGGATTATTAACCTGTTTTTCTTCCAAACTTATGGTCAATTGAATATAAACTGTGTTTGTGTGTATTCTGAGTTTCTTGTGTTTCTCAGCTTTGAGCCTAAAGTATTAGATAATTAGTCAAGCTAATAATGAAGTATCCTGTCGTTATCTTTCTCTAAGAAAAAATAGCTACAGTCTGTGAGATAATTAGTTTAGGAAATAAATGGTATCAGAATAATCTGGAGAGTTTATTTGAATTATATCTCTCTTACCCTGAACACCAGCTCTCATTTCTGATTATACCAAGTAAGGAAGGGGAGACAGATGATATATTTTGGGCAATTATCTGCCTTAGTTAAGAAGAGAAATGTCTTACGACAAATAAATTCTATACATTTGTCTAGATGTTAGTGTAAATAATATTTCTCTGCTGACAGTACTACGGGTTCTTATTTACTTCTCTGAAAGGCAGATTTTTACAACATAAACAGTTTTACCAATACAAGATCACTTAAATATGTATTGAGGTGATAGTCTTAATTTTAAAACAACATCGAAATGAGACAATAGGTTTGCTAATTTTAAAGTTTGAGTCTTACTAGCATTATATGGATAATCTAATATTTTAGCTGAAAGTGACATGACTTAACTGAAGTTAAATTCATTTTATTAGAATTCGGTATTTTGGCAGAGGTAGAATTAGATGTGTTATTAAAATAGAACTTTCTTATTTTCATTTAATTTAAAACATTGTTTATTTTACAGTATGTTTATCTAAAGTATACACTAAAGTGTGCTACATAAGAATATTATCAGAATGCTTCACATTTTTATATATTAAAAAGACATTCAAATTGAAGATTTTATTCAGATATTCTATTTGAAATAATTTTCTAATGTTTATGTAAAATGTGTGCTCCAAATAAAACTATAATGTCTGACAGTAAGTTACACATGTATTGACATGATGGATTTCACTCTATCACTCTGATTTAATTAGATTTCTTTTTGGCCTAGAGCATTATGTCTGTACTTGGAATCTTATATTGAGTAGTTTAGTGTGATTTAATAGCCAAAGCAGTGTGGCAAGTCTGGGTAATAAAAAAGTAAAAATTAAAACTGACATTCAGAATGACTTTATAAAACTAATATTTATATTTTGTTTAATTTTTAGAGGAAGAAGAGAAAAATAGAAAGTATTCTCCTGAAGAAATTCAGAGAAAAAGACAAGAAGCACTGGTTCGAAGAATGGCCAAAGCACAGGCATCATCTCTAAAGGCAACTCCTACTTAACTTGATTTCTTTAACGAAATACTACTTGGAGGACATAACAAAGACAGTTGATAACTATCTATGATAGGAAATATTTTTTCTTAATTTCTCTGTGAGAAATTTAATGCTGCATTATAAAGCGTGGACTTCTACTTTATTTAATAAATCAGTGTTTGCAATTGTCAATGAAACCTTTCCTTGGAGATATATGTGAAAGTAATTGCATGTAAGTTTTGGAAATTCAGGAAAGTTAGCAATTATGTAGTAGAATTATACAGAGGAAAGTCGTTACATTTTTAAATATTGTGACAGAGGATCATCAAAAAATAGGTAATATACTTAATTTTTTCTTGTAATAAGTCTTTTCCTAATATAAAATGTATAGTTTTACTTTTAATAACTGTTCCTTAAAGTTTTTCTACATTTCTAAATTTTAATTAATACTTCCATATTCTTAGGAACATAGTTGGTAGGAAATAAAGTACTTCAATTTATTTGTAAGGAAATTACTGTTTTTGGTTCCTAGTCTCAAATATATTTGAATTTTAATTCTCTAAAACCTGATACATTTGGGAAACTTTCCACCATTTTTAGGGAAGATGCTGATTTGAGAAATTTAGTTTAGAAAAAAGAAAGTGGATTGGCTATATAAGTAATGTAACTTCAATAACATTTAGACCTGTGAGAAACTTTAGATATCATCTGGTCCAGCTTCTTTCTTGCATAGGTGAGAAATGAATACTGTTATTCTGAAAGTCATAAGGCAAGTTAAAGCTGTGCTGGGATTAGGATGATTTTTTTCATTCTAATGGATACTTTGACAATTGTACCATTTGCCTCGGTATTAATTAGCACATAAAATAATTTGTGGGAGTATTAATTATTTTATAGTATAAAACTAAAAAGTAACTAAAAGTACATTAAGGACTGTTTAATAATAATGCTCATTGTTCCTTATATTAAAGAATTAAATATTCCAGGATATAAAAATGAGAATCTTCTATTTTCAGTTTTCCTCTAACTGTGTAATTTTACCTTGATTAATTTACTGGCTTGACAAATTTGTTCTTCCTATTACTTTTTTTTTTTTTTTTTTGCCTGTTTGGAATTTGCTAAGCCAGAAGTAAACATCTAAGCAGAGTGCATAAGGGCAGTAAGAATGCTTTATTCATCCCAAATGGCTTTAGGAGACCTGATGAAATTGCAGATGTGAAATACCTATTAGGGTGTTCACCTCTATTCAGGTGTCTTAGAGCTATGATAATATCAAAATAATTAAATGTATTTTAAAGTATTGCTATGTGGAGATAGATCATTTTGAAAATTGTATATTCATATATACAGTGAAATAACACATTCTAGGCAACCTTTATTATTTGTCTAAGAATAGATAATAAAGAACCTAAATAAATATAGGTAAGTTTTATATGTAAGAAAATGAAGAACTGAGAATCTTTATCTTTTTCTAAAGTGAGTTCACTGTGTTCTTACTATGCTTTGGGTATCTCTACCTTTGCTTAAGCTCTTCCCTACCTGCCACTTACTTCTTCCAGAGTGTTTTTAGCCTGTTCTGTCCATTCATTAAGACTCAGCCTAATAAGTCTCAGTTTCTCTGAAACTCGTACCTGACCATCCTCACTGGAATTGATTTCTTCTCTCTGATTATGATGGTACTTATTCTTGTATGTTTCCTGGGGCAATTCTCTAAAGCCTTATGTGTTATTCGGTTGTATATGTATTCTAGTAATATTTCTAAAACTTCTCATTTTGCATCTCTTTCATAATTTTGCCATTTCTCATATAGCATATACTATTTACTTAATAGTTTTCTTAAAGTGACCTCTTTCTCTTTAAAAGGATACTTTATAGTACTTATGAATGGTGGGTGGACTAGTGGCCCAGCACGTCTGAACCTGAGTATAATTGGGTTTCTAGGGTTACGCCTGCTGTTCACACTCTACTTTGCTATCCTAATTCTTCTTCCTTTTGTTGTTGTTGGAAACAGTAGGGGTTGAGTGGCCCATGAATGAGCATGCAGAGCCTGTGTAGATAGTTTCTCTGGCTTGTCTCTTTCCAGTCTGCGGAATCTGTTTCCACACAGGGGAGGGGCAACTGGTAGGCCTGGCAGTTCTATTCCAGTTCAAGCTCTGCTGCTGTTTATGCATCTCAGGCTGGCTACAGAAAAACTGAAGCTAATAATGCCATTATTGCAAGAAAGTCTAGCAAAGTAGAGCCTGTCTTTCATTACTCTTTCTTGCTGCAGACATAACAACCCTGATCCCAGGAAAACTTGGGTTGCATATTACAGACACAGTCAGTGGTATACGGGCATGTACCACACCTTGGGAAATACTGCTTGTATCATTATACTCTATTATTAACATTTAGGTACCTGAGAATAGAGGTACCTTACTTATCTCTGTCTACCTGTTACTGATATTTAGTGGTTACTTATTAAATGTTAAATGAATTTAGACAGATTCTGGTGGCAGAGATTCTTCCTTGCCACACTGGAAGTAATCTGACTCTGATTCTTTGAGCTTCAGGATTGGAAAATGTTTCTAAGAACAGTTTAAATTTAGCCTAACACTGATTAGTGTAAGTGATAATGTATCTGAAGTCTGGTTTTCAATTCTTGCTGGGACGTGGTGATCAAAATCACTTGTGGAACTCAAAAACAGAATGACAAACTTGTCTCCTGTGCCTTCCCTTAAACGTCATAAATGAGTATGTCTATGGGTAGATTTCAAATGTGTATACTTTTAAAGTGCATTGGCTATTAGCCAACAGGGTTGAAAAGAAATTATAATTGCTAAACTTATATAACAGTTGCTAAATATTTTATTTACCATGAATGGTTTTAAGAAATTTACAGTAACTCATTTATTTCTCAAAACAATAATAAATAATGCTTTTACCACCATTTTCCAAATAGGGAAACTGAAGTAAAAACCAGTGGTCCATGGAAATTATCTGTATGTACAGGAAAGAATTGTAGCATTTCAGGCATGTGTGCCAGAAAACTCACTAGAATTCTATAGCTTAATTTTATAGCTCAGAAGAATTTTTTTCCAATCGCAATTGCTGTTACAGATGACTCCTGTACTTTATGTGTATGTGAGTGGGTGGGTATTGATTATATGAATCCACATAGAAGTTGCCTTTGTTTTTCATTCAATTATTAAACAAAAAAATAGAGAAATATGTAGAATGTATAGCTATTTAAAATGTCATTTTACTTCACTATTTTAGTAACTTCTGGGTGTTCTGGTTTTAAATCTATTGAGGAGAACATAATTGCCTAGTCCAAGATGTAATGGCTTACCTCAAGCTGCTAGTAAAACTCTAATCCAGGTAATAAAATTAAGATTTCTGGTTAGATGCACACTATATAGAATAGTGGTATTCTGCTTTTAATTTGTTACAATATGTTGTTAAAGTATATGGTAAAGTCCAATCTCACACAGGTATATAGTTGAGAAAAGGAATATTGTAATAGTCTTTTCAGATAATTGTAGATATTCTTCTTTGATAATACACAAAAGCTCAAGAAGTGGTAATTTCTTAAAAGTTAGCTGTAACTTCCATTTCTAGCCAAGATAGAATAACAAAGACTAAATGTGCACTTTCTGCTGAAACAACCAAATCAAAAACAGACAAACTACATGGAAAAGTGAATTTTAAGACATTGGACCTCAGACAATGAAGCAAGTGATCCCTAAGAATTAGGAAACAAACAAATGGAGCCCTGCAATTTTCCCAGCTTACTGCCTTGAGGGAGTTTCCAGGCAGTGATGCAAGGAAGGGGAACTAAGGAAGAACCCAGTAGACTCCCTGAGTTGAGGAAATGGAGCTGAGATGCTAGAGACCAAGATAGTGAGAGTTCGCAGGAAGAGTACCAGTGAGGGAGAGAACATAGAACTCCAGAGATCTATAGATGGTCCCTCTTGAAAATTAAACTCAGTATTGATCAGCATACTGTGTGAGGAAGAGCCATCTGAAAGGATTAGAGGAAACAAACATTGTCGGGTGCTCACATGGGTCTAGTAACAAAGCCTGTTCTCATCAGCCATAGGTCACTGGGTAGTACTTGCCTCAGTAGTAAGGAGTGATGAGCCCTAGGCTGCACTGCTCTAGCCCCACCCAACAAATAATAAAAGCAAGATTGAAAAGGATCAAACCATTCCCAAGTAACATAACTGCATCCCAGAACAAAGCTCAAAAATATTTATAGAAAAACAAAAATGCCCCATACCTGTGAGAGAAAATTCACAATGGCTGTCATCTAATTAAAGATCACTAGGCATGCAAAGAAGCAAGAAAACACAGACCATAATAAAGAGAATAATCAATTGAAACCAACATAGCTCTGACACGTTAGAATTAGCAGGTGAGGATACTAAAATAGTTATAACTACTACCTTTGTTCAAAAAGTAGAAATATAGAGGATATTAAAAAGACCAAAATCAAACTTCTAGAGATGAAAACTGCAATGTCTGAGGTAAAAAATACACTAGATGGGATTAATGGCAAATTAGACATTGCAGAAGAAAAGGTTAGTGATTAGTGGACTTGACATTTAATAGGAATTATCCAAAATGAAGAGAAAAAAGAATTTAAAAAAATGAAAAGAGCATCAATGAGTTGTGGAACAACTTCTGTAGCCTAGTATATGGTTAATTAGAGTCCCTGACGAAGGGAGAGGTAGAAACTATAAAAAAAATTTGAATAAATAAAAATTTATTTTTAAAAATTTTTAAGTTTGGCCTAAAAATTTCTGAACTTTATGAAAACTATTAACCCACAGATCTGGGAAGATCATTGAACCTCAAGCACAAGAAATATGAAGAAAACTGTACCAAGCCACATCATAACCAGTGATAAAATTATAAAATCAGCTAAAGGAAAAAGATAAGAACAGAGGAACAAAGGTGAATATAACAGAGAAGTCTCATCAGAAACAGTCTGAGAAGACAATGGAGAAACATCTTTAGAGTACTGAAAGGAAAAGAACTCAACCTAGAATTCTATACCCAGCAAAAATGTCTTTCAAAAGCAAAGATGGGGCCTGCCCAGTGGCACAGCGGTTAAGTGCACGCACTCCACTGCGGCAGTCCGGGGTTCGCAGGTTTGGATCCCGGGCACATACTGACGCACCGCTTGTCAAGCCATGCTGTGGTGGTGTCCCATATAAAGTAGAGGAAGATGAGCACGTATGTTAGCCCGGGGCTAGTCTTCCTCAAGAAAAAGGGGGAGGATTGGCATCGGATGTTAGCTCAGGGCTAGTCCTCACAAGACAAAAAAAAAAGCAAAGATGAGCTAAAGTGGTTTTCGGACATACAAAACTTGAAAGAAGTCATCACTGGCACT